TGAGGGTTGCGATCCCGTTGCCGGTCCCCGGTCCGGTACGGGGGCAACACTGAGGGTTGCGATCCGTTGCCGGACACGGAAAAAAGACAAAAGACAAAAAAAAAAAAAGAATTGGCACACATTCTGGAGGTATGTTATATTCAGTGAAAGTGTTCGTAAATTCACAGCTCACCTGTGAGCACTTTGAGCATTTCAGCTACTCTACAGACACTTTCTGCGTTTCCACATAAAACCCTCGCACCTTTTTTTTATGGGGACGTTCTGTCACTGTCCGCCTTTGATGGATAAGGAAGCTGAGGCTCAGAGATGTGAAGCAGCATGGCCAGGGTCACACAGCATGCGTCAGCTTATGTCTGCCACAGCAGACTAATTTGCAGACAGTGCAGGTGGCCACAACGTGACCAGCAGAGAGCTGTGCTCCAGGGCCTGGCTCCTCCCTCCATAATGGAAGAGAAGCAGCGGGGAATTAGAGCTAGCCCAGCCTCCCAGGTGGCAGGTAGTTATAGGGGGCGCTCCTAAATCCAATGCTCCGGGGAATCAATTTCTGAATTCTGTCTTGGGACAGAAACCATTGGGTGGGTCAAGACTCAGTAACCACAGTGTCCCCCTGTCAGTACCTGTTCTCATCCCTGGTGGTTACCTAACATCTCGGGCGGGTCCTCCTGCTCTAGTTAATGTCATTGCTGTAATCAGGGACATCTCTGGGATGTTGTCTGGGAGGGCAGTACCACGAGGCTAGGGAGGTCAGGGTGACAGCAGCACAGGGGATGCCCTGGTTCCCCGCTCGGAGTGAGCAAATCCCTTGTCCAGCTTGGGGGTCTTTATTTTTATTATTATTATTTTTTGTCCTTTTTGAGACCGGCCACACCGCGCTCAGCCAGTGAGCGCACCTGTCATCCCTATATAGGATCTGAACCTGGGGCGGGAGCGCTGCTGTGCTCCCAGCGCCGCACTCCCCCGAGTGCGCCACGGGCTCAGCCCCAGCTTGGGGTCTTTAATGAAACCTGCCATGCAGCATCTTGGGCACTGGGGCAAAGCTAGGGTGAAGTGGCTCTTCTCTTGTTTCCTACAGCAGCTGCTTTATGGCTGGCTGCCCCCAGGAGTCTTTTTTTTTTTTTTTTTCTATGTTTTTATTACTGCTTCAAACATACAGGAAAATATAGACAAGTTTTTCCCATCCATTTTAATAGCTAAATACCTTTAGCTGTTCATACCAAGACAAAGACATTTTGTGTCTTGAATAACCATCACCAACGGATACAAACAGTTCTCAGGTCTCTGGGCTGGAGGTGAGCAGGCTGCCAGGCCAGGCAGAGCCAGCCCGGACTGCTCAGGGGAACGTCATCTCTCCACGTCCAAAATAAACGTTTTCCAAAGAGTCGCACCTTCACTGATCTGAGAGGAGTAATCTTCCTCATCGAGGAGAGAGAGCGAGGGGCATCGGGTTGACAGGGCAGGGGGTTAAAGAGGGAGTTTAGCTGAATACAGCCGGAGTTGATTTTAACAAATCAACGCCCTAAGCAGTCTGAGTGTTCTGATTTTCAGGGCTATTGAGTTCGAATGTATAAGCAAACTGCAAAGGATAGCTTTGTTGGTTTTTTTTTTTTAATGATGAAAGCCTAACAACAGTATATCCCCCCCTTTGAAGGCCTCCCCCACCCCCTTTCTTTACCCCAGGTCTGTCCATCAAGGTTAATCTAATCCTGCTAAATTAAAAACCAGCCAGCGCATCCCCGAAGTGTGCATAAAGATATGCAGGACAGCGCGGCCCTGGTGTCCTCCACATTCTCGAAACTAGTGACCATGGGCGGCTCCTTTCTCAGGGTAGAAATAGGCAAGTGAGGGGTGGCCAGGGGACCTCGGCTCCAGGGTGTCCCTCTCCTTTATATGTGTGAATGAGCTAGGGGAGGGGTAGATCCGGGTACTGCCCCACACTTACAGTGGAATGTACACTGTTCATCCACCCTGTGACTTAACTCCTTAGCGTCAGGGTCGTTCTTACACATGAAGATGGACATGTCCATCCCTGTCAGTGTCACGTTAGCAGAAGGTGACAACATCCCTTTGCAGGAAGCATCCTGAATCATCCCTTCCTACGATAGTGGCGGAGGCCAAAGAGAGGGTGAGGTGCCTCCCAGACTCTGGTGTCAATGACTTGTCCCTAGAGCACCAGCCTCAAGATGCGGGGAACATGTTCCAAGCCTAGGGGAGCCCTCTGCTTTTATGTGGGACGCAGCGAGGAGCTCTAGGAGAAGGTGGCCTGCTCTACATCAGGTGGTGTTCCCTTCCCATCTCACCACTCCTTCCTGCTCCCCAGTCAGCCTGGCTGTTGTGCGGCTCAGATCTGTCACCCCTTAATGAAGTGGCTTTCTGGCTGCTGAGGATTGAGAGCTGCTGCTGGGGAATGTAAGTCACTAATAAAATGAAAAACACTGTGAAATACTCCGAGGTACCAAGCTGGGCCCAGCCCAGTGTGGTTCTAAAAGGCTAATAAAAATCCACCAATTAATTGTGACAGCTCAATGGAAAATTATTCAATTGTGAACAGGGGCGAGCTGCAGCTCCAAAGGAGGAGGGAGAAGTTGCCATGGTAACATCAGTGTGAGTTCTCATCTCAGCAGTCGGAGCCAGCCCAGGAGTGAGCAGCATCCGATGGCCGCACGGGGTGGGGGGCGGGATGCGGGAGGCCCCAAAGCCGCGTTTGCTCTGCCTGGCCCCGGGCCTGCGGCCACCCAGGCTGAGCACACTTTCCCTGGGCTGGAGAACTTGTTTACCAAATGCTTCCTGTTCGCCTGCGGCCACCCAGGCTGAGCACACTTTCCCTGGGCTGGAGAACTTGTTTACCAAATGCTCCCTGTTCTTTGTTTGTTTGTTTGTTTGTTTGTTTGTTTGTTTGTTTGTTTGTTTTAATGATGACCGGTAAGGGGATCTTAACCCCACACTCACCCAGTGAGCAAACCGGCCATCCCTATATGGGATCCGAACCCGTGGCCTTGGTGTTATCAGCACCACACTCTCCCGAGTGAGCCACAGGCCGGACCCAAATGCTCCCCGTTCTGAGAAAACCAGGGAAGGAGCAGTGAGTGGAGTAGGGGAGCACTCCCGACACCCTGCAATGTGTTTCCTGTACCTCTAACCCCTGCCACTTAGGGGAAGCTAGTGTGTGGGCACAGGCGACAGGATTCCCGTTTCCCCAAAGCTAAGGTGCCTGCAGCTCAGGAAACCAAGCTCCTCGTGCACAGAGGACCTGTAGGGAAGAGGCCAGCACTCCATTATGGTTTCGCAGTTGTTGCAACTTTTATTTCAAAGGGTACACACAACACATGTGGAATACTTGAAATGTAGCCTTGTTACAGCAAAAGCGTATTCCTTCCTAGTTCACCTCCCCGGAGACTCTTGGCTTGGCAAACCCTGTGCCCCGGAGAAGGACCACTATCAGAAGGGCATCTCCATGCCACAGCAGGGCTCTCCCGCCAGAGGGACCTTGCGTTAATGGGATGGAGAATGAGACTGGGTGTTTTTTTTCCCCCATTTTTGACTTTCAGAACCACACTCTGTACCCAGCAGAATGTACTCATTCATAGTTGCACTTTGGATGTCAGCAGCAGACGTCCCTATGGAGACTGTCAAAACTTTGATTACCCCACTGTAATCACTCAGTCCACCTCCCTTCAACTCGGAGCGAGCACACCAGCACCACTATTCATATTCATGGCCCTGCAGCAGCCTCCACTCCATGCCACTGGGCTCGAGGACTGCTCAGAGTCAGACCACCAGAGGAGGAGGGGGCTGGGGCTGGAACAGACGGTGGCATTGTCTTCCCAGCCAAGATACAGCTTGCTTTGGGTCATGTTTTTGACACTATCTAGTTTTTTGCTTCAGCAAAGTTGGAAATCGTAAGTAAGCACACACTTATCCAATCTACTGCTAATACTTCATTGTAATCATGCCGACCCCTTGTCAGTGTCTTAGCGTTTGAGCTGGAGGAGAAGCAGGAGTGAAGATGGGGGCGGGGTCGTGAGCAGGGCCCTTCCAGGAGGCCCTGGCACTTCACCGCCTGCCGAAGCGGAAGCTGAAGCCACCTTTTTTCCTGCTGTAGCCGCTGAGCTCCTCCGCCAGGTTCCCAAGAGTGCCACCACCAGCCTTCTCGCTGTCATCAGGGAGAAGGCTAGTGACCTCGCTGCTGTCCTGCCTCCCAAAGCGGAACCTGAAGCCGGCGTGCTCTCGGCCCGATGTCTGCAGCTCCTTGGCCATGAAAAGCAGAGCCTGTGGCTGTGGAGCCCTCGGCCACTCGGAGGAACTCCACACAAAGTGGGGTGGGTGCCCCTCGGCCAGGCCTGCCCGGCTCATTCCAGCTCTGATGCCCCCCATGGCATCCGCCGGCTCTCTTCTGTCCAGTAGAGGAAAGCAGGCACCCAGTGGCAGGAGGAGGAGGTAGGACAGGGAGGACGGGCTCATCATCTGACCCAGAGGAAAGAGAGGAGGGAGTTACAGGCTGTCTACAGGCCCTGGCACAACTACGGTCACTTCCCAAGGCTGAGCAGCCATCAGGTGCAAGCTGGAGACTCGGCTGAGCCCAGCTCCCGGTCGGCCTTAGGGACCAGGCCTCTGTGTTCTCAGCAGGCTCAGGAGCTGATTGTATCAATCAGGCCAGTTCTCACTCTCCTGCTGGCCCCTGGATCTGACTGCTGTGGCAGCGTAGCCCTGTAATACCGCTGCTGGATAGCTCAGAGCAGTGCCAGGTGGCCCTGCAGAGCCAAGTGAATTTGGGTTTATTTTTCTTTTATTATGATGATTGACTCTTGGGCCATATCATCTCTGAGCTGTGGGGTGGAAAGTTAAAAGCCTCGATCTCTCTTAGTTTTCATCTTGATAATAAGTGAGTCTAGCTAAGCTGTTTAGCTGGGGCACTCTGCTAATGTCTCTCTAACCTGAAAACGAGTTGGTGGCCCTGGCCTAACTCGGACAGCCACCTCGGGAGGAGCATGTGAACGTGGCTGGGGAGTGGATGATCCCTACTGAGCACTGTCAGTGTGCCAGGCCCTGAGCTAAAAGCATTACGTGCGTGCTTGTACTTCATCTTCACCATGAACTTGCCTCGTAGGTACTGAAAGTGGTCCCACTTTTTCAGGCAAGAAGACTGTCAGAAAGGCTAAGAGGTTGTGCCCAGGCCACACAGCTAGAAAGTGGAGGTTCTGGGTTCACGGTGCTCACAGCCAATGGTTTCTTGGCGTGGAGACCCACGCACAGTTGACATAATCCTCTCAGCCCTCCCATGGAAGGGTGTTATGTTACCCCATTGCACAGAGGAGGCACCAGGCTCAGACAGGCAAGGTGGCTTGCTCAAGACCTTTCACCTTTATGTGACAGAGCTGGAGTTCAAGCCTGGACCTGACTGGACTTGGCTTCAGGATGCAGCTTCATTCGCTGCTGTATACAGGTGTGATAGCCTGGGGACCCGAAACAGAGACAGCACTGCCCAGACACCCCTGCCTCAGCAGTAATTGCTCCCTTCCCTCGCAAAGGAAGCCTTTTCTGGGGCCGGCCCGGTGGCGCACTGTGCTAGTGTGCCGCTTGGGAAGCGCGGCGGCGCTCCC